AAGCGCTACAATTCACTGCTTCGCCGCGTGGATGCACGCTACAAATCTGTCGCCGGTGGAGCAGCTACAAATCATTGGCTCGGCAGCCGTAGGAGCAGCTACAAATCATGCTGCAGCGTAGGAGCAGCTTAAATCATGCTTAGCAGCCGTAGGAGCAGCTACAAATCTATGGCGTCGCAGGTAGGAGCGTACAAAGTCATGCTCGCAGCGTAGCAAGCAGCTACAAATATGCTCGCCGCGATTTAGGAACAGTGCTACATCATTGCTAGCAGCGTAGGAGCAGCTCGCATCATGGCTCGACAGCGTAGGGAACAGCCTGACATCATGGCTCGCAAGCGTGAGGTCAACTAATCGATGCTCGCAGCGTAGGAGCAGCTACATCATGCTCGCAGCGTAGGAGCAGCTACAAATCATGTCGGGCAGCGTTATGTTGGGAGCAGCTACAAATCACTGCGCTCGCCGCGTAGGAACAGCTAGATTCATGCTAGCAGGTAGGACGCGTACAAAATCATGCTCGCGCGTTAGGAGCAGTCCAAACTCTCGCGCGTGGAGCAGCTCAATCATTGTCGCGCGTAGGACCGCAGCTTACATCATGCTCGCAGCGTAGGAGCAGTAACTCATGCTCGCCAGCGGTATGGAGCAGCTACAAATCATGCTCGCAGCGTAGGAGCAGCTACAAATCATGCTCGCAGCGTAGGAGCAGCTACAAATCATGCTCGCAGCGTAGGAGCAGCTACAAATCATGCTCGCAGCGTAGGAGCAGTCACATCATGCTGCGCGCGTTAGGAACGTAATCATGCTAGACGCCGTCAGGAGCCACTCAAATCATGCTCGCAGCGTAGGAGCAGCTACAAATCATGCTCGCAGCGTAGGAGCAGCTACAAATCATGCTCGCAGACGTAGGTACAGCTACACGATCATGCTCGCAGCGTAGGAGCGCTACGATCATGTCGCGCGTAAGGAGCGCTACAATCTGGCTTCGCAGGCGTAGGAGCAGCTACAAATCATTGCTCGCCAGCGTTGAGGCAACGCTGTTGTGCGTGCTAGTGCGGTACAGGTGCACGTGTGTCCGTTTGTATTGCCGTATTTGCTACGGAGAATCCTGACCGCTGATCTGTCATCCTGCGACGTGCGAACTCAATAGTCTACTTAGCAGCCTAGTGGAACTAGAAATGTCGCGCTACTTAAGGTTTTATGTTGGAATGCGAATATACATGTCTAAGGAACTACAGATAACTGGCCGGATGCTAATTTGTATGTAGTGCATTCTTGCTAATCGGTATATTAGCGTTTAATTAGGTTCAACATCACTAATCAGAATATCTTCTTGTATCCACCTTAGGACTTCATTCGTGTGTTTCTCGACCCATTGTTTGACACTAGCATTGATCTGGCAATGGATTCAAACCTTACCGTTCTTCCACTGCCAGAAATCCATATGGATTGCAGTGTAATGAGTAAACGGTTATAATCACCATAATGGGCCAACTGTGGAGGATAGGACTTTGTTTTTGATGCTTCAGCCCATGGTTCTTAATCACAAGTATTTCATTGTCTATGGGAGCTTCTCTATTCTTAACAGTAGTTGATTATTATATTTATGAAATGCTTAATATTTGATGGCAGCTAGATCATTGAATAATAGATGAAACCAACCCATAAACTACTTACTATTCGCCTTTCGTCTGTTATGGTTGTGATCATTCTCTTCCAGCTCTCTGATCCTCTTCTACTTTCTTCTGCTCTTTATATCCCTTCTTCAGCATCTCTCGTTGTGTCAGTGGTTTTACATACTCATTTCCCTCCTTCACCACATGTAGCTGGTATCATGCAATCCAT